GAAGAAATATCGCAGCCCCCTCCACTGAGACGCCGAAACAGGAACGGATACATCATCACCTTGGCCTCTTCCTCCATTCTTTTACTATATAAGAAACCCAACTTCACCATTTCTTCACCATTCTTCATCAAATTCATTCTGAGAGATAGCCTTGAGTGTGGAGAACGCAGTGGTGCTGTCAATTTGGTGAGAGGTCGCCGGAACAAGACGTGGTGTTCGCCGGAAGTTTCACCGGAAAATATTCAAAACCTTCATTTACCTTCGAGGTAAGCCCGTAGATATATCTAGTGATTAGAATGTTCGTATAGATCGTTTTTACGTTCATAAACGGTCGTTTGGTTGAGTTTTATGTTTGACATGTTTGAAGAACCAAGAATCATAAACCAAGAAATTGTTGTTAAAACTAGAAATTAATGACTCTAAAATGATCTGTGAACATTGGGGAACATTCCTATATAATTTAATTGAAGTTTGGTAATTAAAAATGATAATGTTAAAAATTGAACAGAGGAAGAAGATGATGAACAGTGGCCGAAAATCGATTATTTCCTTCCTAATAATCGATTAAAAATTTGTTCAGATAGTCTGTATATTTAAAAATAATAATAATCGATTATTTTAATCATAAAAATCGATTTAACGTTCTTAATCGATTATTATAATTATAAAAATCGATTAATATGAATTAATTGATTATTTAAATTGTAAAAATCGATTATTATGAATTAATGGATTATTTAAATTGTAAAAATCGGTTTTTTAAGAATTAAAAATCGATTATTATGAATTAATGGATTATTATGAATTAATGGATTATTTAAAATATAAAAATCGATTTTTAGCAATTAATTGATTATTTAAAATATAAAAATCGATTTTTAGGTATTAATTGATTATTTTTTTAATAAAAATCGATTTTTCTTAAGTCGAGATCCTGTTCCGAAAATATTCGGAAAATATATACTCTAAAATCCACCAATTGATTATGATCATTGGAAAAATGATTTACCATAACAAAAATGATGTTTTTAACAAATAAAAATGTTATGTGATGCATGACGGTAAGTTAGGGTGATAACAAAAATTGTATTTTGATATGACACAGACAACTAATAATAGAATACCGTTTCTCGAATTTTTAAAAATAGTTTTAAGCATAATAGCTAGACTACTACTTCTGTAGCCAACAACAACAAACAGTAGTCTGATTTTTTTAACTACTGTTTTTCCATAAACCGTAGTTAATCAACAGTCGTCTGACACTGTTTTTGGCGTAGTGAAACTTTCTTAACTATTTGTCTTGTCAGCATTACTTTATTTCACTGATATTTCCGAGGATAACCAGTTAAGTCATTAGTTGCTTCATAACAAGGCGCCAATTCGATCAACAAGGTTGAGCTGGTTATAGTTTTTAACAAACAGGTCCTTTGTATCTGATCGAACAAGTTGCCAGTTTGTAGTAAAGGGTAGCGACTCGTGATCGTCAATTTGTTCAACTTTCTTAACAGGAATTGATAGTATCCTGACCGTAAGTCAATCTTAGAGAACACAATGGATCCTCTAAGATGATAAAATAAGTCATGATACGAAGTAAAGGATAAGGATTTGTTTAATTAACGATAGTTGATACAGAGTCTTGTCAATCCTTCTGTATTCACGTATGAACAAAATAGGTATTCAAAGAGAAAACACTTGATCAAATGATTCCTTATTAAGCAATCCTTAAGTTTTAAATTTCAACAGAAAGATATTCAATGTGGAGTTTACATAGATATAAGACAACGTAAGCCTAAGATCAATACATGCATAATTGTATTGAATTATTGAATAAGGAAATATTTTAATGATGACACCAGAGTTTTCTTCATCGCGGTCTTTCACTACATACGCATGTGCATGATTTTATTTGTGGATTATTTCCTGCTAGTGCAAGCTGTGCTGAGGTAGACTGTCTTTGAACAGGGCCATCAGCATTGGTTTTCCAAGGGTTTGTAGGACATTCCTTTCGAAAATGCCCAGATTTACCACAACCTATACATAATCCTGGTGTCATCCAACATTCTCCTGGGTGATGTCTTCTATAAGTGTTACACTTTGGACGTTTCCACACTCTCAATTTGCGTTGAGTTAACAAAGGTTTTCTTCTTTTCGAGGGTGGGACACTACAAGTTCCAGTCAAAGGCTTCTTTCCTTTAATATCGGGTTTGATACTTGAATAAGCATTGGAGTTACCTTCAATATCTTAGTGGATGTTTTGATTGTCTGGTTCTTGTTCGACCAACGCTAGAGGGGGGTGAATAGCGTTTGATCTTAGAAATCGCAGGAATTAAAAAATTAAAAGAGAAGTAAAGAGAAGAGTAAGAGGTACACCGAATTTTACCCTGGTTCACCACAACTTGGGGCTAATCTAGCCTCCCGAGAGACTCTCTCGAGCTACACTACTATCTTGTTAAGCTTGCGGGTGCTTAACAAACCGTTACAACTTGAGAGTTCGAGTTACACGAACCTGAACGAGTCGTTCAATGGAAACAACCCTTCCTTTGAATCTACCGAGAGAAATACTTTCTCTCAACGTGTCTAGCAACACAAATACACTCAAGAACGAGACTCTCTTAGAGAGTAGATGATGAGTAAACTAAGTACGCTCAAGAACAACTAAACCTTCACACAAAATGGCTCTAAAAAGCTATGAAAAGAGTGTTGTTTGAATGCAATGAAATTATGAATATTGTGAAGTGAATTGATGTGTAAAGCAGACCCAAACACCCCTTTTTATAGTGCCAAAATAGGCTCCAATGGACCAATACATTAAAGGGGTGATTGGCTTGATTTATGGGATTGAATAAATTTGGGATCTGCAGGATATTGGCTTCCCAGCGATGTATGGACCTTACCCATCGCTAGTAGGCCAATTTTCCTTCAGTTTTGAAGCCAACGGTCACCTACCCATCGATGGGTACATGATTCCCATCGCTGGGTGGGAGGTTGACTTCCAAACATGGAAAGAATCAATCCTTAACTGACTTACAACGGTCATGCCTTCCCATCGATGGTTGAGCCTTCCCATCGCTGGGTTCCCATCGATGGGTAAAGCTTCCCATCACTGGGTAAGGGCATTCTGCCTTGTGATAATGTTGGACCAAGGCTTTAACAGCGATGGGTAGAACCTCCCATCGCTGTTTGGCATGGTTCTGGAAGTTGGTTTGGCTAAGGGGCCGCTTACCCATCGATGGGATGTTCTTCCCATCGCTGGGTGGGTGGTTAGCCAAAAACCTATGGTTTTTGCCTTAACCACGGCCTAGCCAACCGATGCAAAAACCGACCGAAAAATCCAAAGTTCTCCAAAATAAAAACCAAGTTCTCCCTAGAATTTATTCCACTAAATAAACCTAACCATTTTCATAATAAATGAGCATTAATGTTTTTCCTCTACAGACGGTTCTCGGACCGCCCATGTAACCCTACCGGTCTGTTGGGTCGCGGGTGAACCGGGTCCACGGAAGGCGGGTGTTACAATTAGGTATCAGAGAGGTTCGGTTTTCAAGAAACCATATTTTGTCATTTTGGTCAAAAAGGTATTTTTCAAAAAGTCCATAGCCGCATCTCCCATCACATCACTACCAGGGGAAGGTACACCGTTATTAAAATCACATGTTTTTCATATTGTTATTAGTTCTGATTTAAGTTATTCCTTTAGAGAATGAGTCAAGCAGCTGGCAATGACGGACAGGCTGTCCCAGAGGGGGAGCTTGAGCACGTGAGCGTGGACACTGAAGCGTCAAGCTTCACAGCTCAGCAGGCCTCCGAGCAGGCAGTCCCGGGCGCGGGCCCTGTTCCAGAAGCCGTTCCCATCATTCAGCCGCAGTTCGCGGCTAATTTCATGAACTTTCTCCAGCAGATGGATGGAGCATACGTCCCACCACCGCCACCACCGCCTCCACCAGTGGCGGTGGTCACCATCGAGAAGCTCCGGAAGAACGGAGCTGAGGAATTTCTGGGCGATCAGATCGCCGACCCCATGATTGCTAAACGGTGGTTCGAGCGAACCACCCGAGTGTTGGGGAACCTCAGGGTTCCGCAAGAGCAGCGTGGCGACCTCGCCGTCGCATTACTTCAGGATTTCGCCTATGATTGGTGGAAGCGTGTGGGAACAGACATCCCGGAGCCCGTGCAGTGGGCCACTTTTGACCGACTCTTCCATGAGGAGTACATTCCGAAGCACTTCGTTGAGGCGAAGCGAGAGGAATTCCTGAAGTTCACCCAGGGTGAACTCACATTGCCAGAGTATCGCTAGAACTTTAACGAACTCGCGGGGTTTGGGCAGGACCTTGTCCCGACCGTGGAGAAGCGGTGCAAACGCTTCGTGGAGGGCTTATGTCCCGACCTTTCTGCTCATCTAATCATAGCTCCTCGGGGTGACATCAACGCGTTGTACAAAAATGCGTTGGACTTGAATGTGGCCCTCGTCAAGAAGGCTGAGTTTGAGCAGACGCAAGGGGCGTCAACGGCATCATCTCGTCCTCCTCCACCCCAGAAGTCGGGTACCAGTGGCAAAAGGTCCTTTGCAGTGCCTAGCAGCTCTCACCAGAGTAAGAAGGTAAAGTCAGCCCAACCCAGTCATCTGCATCCGTTCAGAAGAAGGGCAAGAGCGGAGATGGGTTTCGCAACCCGATTTGTGACCATTGTGGGCGCAGGCACCTGGGAGAGTGCTGGTTCACTCAGGGCCTATGCCTTGGGTGTGGCCAGGCCGGGCATTTCTGTAGAGATTGTCCGAAGAATCCGAGAGAGGCATTCTCGTCTGCACCAGCCGTCTCAGCCCCAGCAGCGCAGCCCGCCCAGAGCCAGAAGTCGACGGCAGCATCCAGTCAGCCCAAGCGACAAGCACCAGGTGCCCAGGCGGAAAAAGCCCCGGCCCGTACTTATGCGATTCGAGGGCGTACCGAGCAGCCAGCCCATGACGTCATCATGGGTATGTTTACCTTACTCGATACATCTATTACAACACTGATTGATCTAGGTTCCACTTTATCATATGTTTGTATGCCCATGCCCATTATGACTAACATTTCGAGGGAAGACTTGGATAATCCGGTAATCATGTCCAACCCATTGGGACACAGCCTGCGACTCACCCACGTGTACCACGACTACCCATTAGTTGTCAAGGGAAAAACCTTCCCTGCAAGTCTCATTGAGCTTCCACATCGTGAGTTTGACGTTATTCTAGGCATGGATTGGCTCACAACCAACCAAGCCGTTGTTGATTGTGGAGCACATACTGTTCGACTAAGAGCCGAAGATGGCAGTGACGTTCTGATCAGCTGTGAGCTTCTTCCGAAAGCTCTAGAATTTATTTCCTACATTCATGCTCGCCGACTCATTCGCAAGAGGTGCGAAACGTTCTTATGCACAGTTCGTGACACTCGTTAGGAAGCACCGAGCAGGGGAGACATTCCTACGGTGTGTGACTTTCCCGACGTTTTTTCAGATGATTTGCCCGGCCTACCGCCCCCTAAGGAGGTAGAGTTTTCCATCAATTTAGTTCTAGGAACACGACCGATATCGATTACACCCTATCGTGTGGCGCCTGCGGAGCTGAAGGAGCTGAAGGCTCAACTGCAGAAGTTGCTGGATAAGGGCTTCATCCGTCCCAGTGTGTCCCCTTGGGGAGCACCAGTCCTGTTCGTCCGCAAGAAGGACGGATCGGTGCGGTTGTGCATCGATTGCCGTTAGTTAAACAAAGTCACCATCAAGAATCATTATCTGCTACCACGCATTGATGATTTGTTTGACCAGCTGAGAGGAGCCAGAGTCTTCTCTAAGATCGATCTCCGATCAGGTTATCATCAGATTCCCGTTAGGAAGGAAGATATTCCTAAGACAGCATTCCGCACTCGATACGGTCATTATGAGTTCACAGTCATGCCCTTTGGGTTGACTAACGCACCAGCTGTGTTCATGGATCTGATGAACAGTGTGTTCCGGAAGCATCTTGACCAGTTTGTGGTAGTCTTCATCGATGACATCTTGGTGTACTCCAAGACACAGGAGGAGCACGCCGAGCACTTACGCATTGTTTTGAGCATTCTTTGGGAACAGCAGCTTTATGCCAAGCTGTCCAAGTGCGAGTTCTGGCTGCACGAGGTTACCTTCCTCGGCCATGTCATCTCGGACGAGGGTGTGAAGGTAGATCCGTGCAAGATAGCAGCGATCACTGAGTAGAAAACTCCACGTAATGCACGAGAGGTGAGGAGTTTTCTCGAATTGGTGGGTTACTATCGCCAGTTCGTGAAGGACTTCTCCAAGATAGCGTCACCATTGCATAAGCTGATGAGGAAGGACGTCAAGTTCGTCTGGACTAACGCCTGTCAGCAAAGTTTCGAGCAGCTGAAAGAGTGTCTGACTCAGGCACATGTGCTAGTCCAGCCCACTCCAGGAGTGGAGTGTATAGTCTTCGGCGACGCGTCCCATAACGGCTTGGGGTGTGTTCTCATGCAGACGGCAAGGTCGTTGCTTATGCATCTCGGCAGTTGAAGCCACATGAGTGTAATTATCCGACGCACGACCTTGAGTTAGCAGCTATTGTACTTGCCTTGAAGATCTGGAGGCATTACCTTTACGGTGAGACGACGTGTATCTTCACCGACCATAAGAGTCTTCAGTACTTGTTGACACAGAAGGATCTGAACCTCCGACAGAGGAGATGGTTAGAGTTGATTAAGGACTACGATTGTCACATCGCTTACCACCCTGGTAAGGCGAATGTGGTAGCCGATGCCCTTAGTCGGAAGACTCTAGCTGTGTTACACGTCCAGCCTACATTACAGCAGCAGATAGCATCAGCCTAGAGCAGCGATGATTTCTGTAAGAGCTCGTCTCTCGAGGAGAGAAGCCGGATTTCGCAGTTCGTGAGGGTATCTTGTATTATCGGGAGCGTATGGTTGTTCCAGCGGGGGAGGTGAGAGAACGCCTACTTCGCGAAGCGCACAACACTATGTATACAATGCACCCGGGCAGTAACAAGATGTTTCAGGATCTTAGGAGACATTACTGGTGGCCCGCGATGAAGCGGGAGATCACGGAGTTCACATCACAGTGCTTGACTTGTCAGCAGGTCAAGGCCGAGCACCAGGTTCCTTCGGGATTGCTTCAGCAGATCACCATTCCCGAGTGGAAGTGGGATCGCATCACGATGGATTTCGTTGTGGGACTGCCATTGTCACCACGTAAGCACGACACAGTTTGGGTCATCGTTGACTGGTTGACCAAATCAGCCCATTTTCTCCCCATTCGTCGTGACTTCTCACTTCAGCATTTAGCGGAGTTGTACATCCGCGAGATCATCAGGCTACATGGAGTTCCATCATCTATCCTTTTGGATCGTGACCCTCGATTTACATCACAGTTTTGGAAGAGCCTATAGAGGGCATTGGGCTCCGATCTCCACTTTAGTACGGCGTTCCGTCGGAGAGGGGGATTCAGATTCTCGAGGATATGATGCGTGCATGTGCAATCGACTTCGAGGACGGTTGGGAGCGATACCTGCCACTCGTGGAGTTTGCATACAACAACAGTCACCAGGCTAGCATCGGTATGGCACCATACGAGGCTCTGTACGGTAGACCCTGTCGTACCCCTACTTGTTGGACAGAGCTCAGTGAGTGGAGGCTGGAAGGGCCTGATCTCGTTCGTGAGACCGAGGAGAAGGTCCAGGTGATTAACGATCGACTTAAGGCGGCTTCGGACCGACAGAAGTCCTACGCCGACCTTGAGAGGCGTGACATCGAGTATGCAGTCTGGGATAAGGTTTTTTTTAAGGTGTCCCCATGGAAGAGCGTCTTACGTTTCGGCAAGAAGGGAAAATTGAGTCTGAGGTTTATAGGCCCGTACCCAGTCACTGAACGGGTGGGACATGTAGCTTACAGGCTTGAGTTACCATCGGAGTTGAGCAAGATCCACGATGTATTCCACGTGTCCATGCTCCGGAGGTACCGGTCGGACCCATCGCATGTGATTCCAGCCGATACAGTCACACTCGATGAGAATCTTTCGTACGAGGAGGGGCTGGTTGAGGTTCTGGCTCGGGAGATCTGCCAGTTGAGGAACAAAACCATTCCGCTGGTCAAGGTTTTGTGGAGAAGTCACACCGTCGAGGAGGCGACATGGGAAACCGAGGAATCCATGCGCACTCGCTATCCACATCTTTTCAGTGATCAGTGATCAGGTAAATTTTGAGGACGAAATTTTCTTAAGGGGTGGATAATTGTAATGCCCTGCAACCCGGTTTAAAAGAATTAATTAATTTAATTAATTAATTACTGTTCCGGGCCGGAGTTGGGGAAAACAAAAAGTTCTTAGAAAAATTATTTGATCATATCATTAAATTTGTTTTGACTGTCTAATTCCAGAAACACAAACGGATCTCAATTCGGACCCGTTCGGGGGGAAAAGCGCATACCGTTCAGGTCAGATTTTACATAACGGAGTAAAATAAATAATTGTAACTCCACCCAATTCACACGCCACCTCACATTCACACAACTCCATCATTTCTCATTTAATCCCCATTATTCCCATTCAATATAATCCACCCTTCCCTTCATTTTCCTTAGCACATTGTAACCCCCAACCCATAACTCCCTCACTCTCTCTTCCTCTCCCTTCCCTTGTTTCGGCCACACAGCAGCTCACCAAGGGGAATTCTGGCAGTAGATGCGGAGGAAGAAGAGAAGGAAGTGCACGTGTGAAGCAGCAGGCCGTTCGTGACACTCGTTGGTTTGTGGATAGCCGATCGTTCGTCTCGTTCTATCGGACCATCAACCCCTTCATTTAGAGGTGAGTAGTTGTCCCCTTTAATTCTAGAACATTTAGTTATAATCTATGTCGTTATATTCATAGGAATAACGTACGCAACCTACGTAGAATCTATGCATGTTCGTAGGTTAGCCACTAAAACGTCATTACGTAAAACCTATAAATATTGGCCTAGGAATCACTAGGAATATATTCATAAAATGTTGTGTTATTGTTCTAAAAAGAATCTAGGTGTTAAATTAGCAAAACGGACCAAAACAGAGCTAGGGACAGCAGACTGTCTCTGGGACGGTCGACCGCCGTTACGGACGGTGGACCGTATCCATGGCCAACCCGACGGTCACCACCGTGACGGTCGACTGCCGGCCGCGACGGAAGACCACGGTGGACAGTCGGCCATCCAGACCTCCATAGTGTAGCCCACGGTCGACCGCTGGTAGGGTACGGTCGACCGTTCCGCAGGCAGATTTCCGGGTAGTTGTAGAACGAGCCCCGTTGACCACGTTGACCCAGAATCTAATCGTTTGTTGCATGAAATGTTAATCTTCATTATAAATGTTGTTTAATTGATATATTCTTGGCGTTGACCAAAGGTAAATATATCAAGCATTCATCATGTTCATTCTAGACGCATGTCCTAGGTTTTCATCATGTGCATACCGCCGTAGGGAGGTCTTCGTGCGCCTACTACAGCGGGCCCGTTCAGGAACCTTTGGGGTCCAACGGGTTTTCATCATGTTGGGCTTGTGTACGTACATAGTACTCAGGTTACGGCTACTACTCGGTTTGCTAGTCCACTCGCGACATCTTTGTCGTGCCCGGCTCGTTACCATTCGGGTACGATGACCGGAGTGCAGGGGTGATCTTGTCGAGTGAAATTAAGTCAGGGGTGTCCCTAATGGTTTGAGTCATGCATCCAGTCCTATCATCATCATGTATGTCCCAATCACCTTGTTATTTGTAATAGCTCTAGCAGGTGAAAACTAAACAGTTAGTAACATGTGGTTTTTCGTACGTTAAGTACAGGTATTAATATGTGTGTGGCCATATGGGTTATCACTTAATGTTCTTTTGTTAGTTTCACTCCTCTGCTTTTGCTGAGCGTGTAGTTGTTTTTGCTACATGCAGGTAGACATGACGGTGCAGGTGCCAACCCTGGAGAGCAGTGACGATGGGGAGATGGGCGGAAAACCACATTTTATCCTTGGTATGGATTGGTTGACCAAGCGTCAAACGATAATTGAGTGTGGTTTGCGCACCGTACGACAGAAGACCGATGAAGGTGATATCGTAGAAGTTAAAGGGGAGCTGTTCCCCAAGCCTCCAGAATTTATTTCCTATATGCAAGCAAAGTGACTTATCCGGAAGAAGTGTGAGGCATTCTTGTGCCATGTTTGCGATACCAGAAAGGAGACCCACAAGTAGAAAGATATCCCAACGGTTTGTGACTTCCCCGATGTGTTTCCGGATGATCTCCCCGGCTTGCCACCGCCAAGGGAAGTGGAGTTCTCGATCGATCTGGTTCCTGGAACGGGGCCAATTTCTGCAACGCCTTACCGCATGGCACCGGCGGAGATGAAGGCACTGAAGGCTCAGTTGCAAGAACTATTGGACAAGGGATTTATCAGGTCGAGTGTGTCTCCGTGGGGAGCGCCAGTCCTCTTTGTAAAGAAGAAAGATGGATCAATGAGGTTGTGCATTGACTACAGGCAGTTAAAAAAAGCCACAGTCAAGAACCGCTACCCATTACCGCGAATTGATGATCTGTTTGATCAGCTCACGGAAGCTACGGTGTTCTCGAAGATAGACCTCCGATCAGGTTACCATCAGATCCCTGTGAAGAAAGATGACATACCAAAGACAGCCTTCCGGACGCGTTATGGACATTATGAAGTCACGGTGATGCCGTTTGGGTTGAAAAATGCTCCTGCAATTTTCATGCATTTGATGAACAGTGTCTTCCGCCCCTACCTAGACCAATTTGTGGTAGTATTAATCTACAAAATCTTGGTGTATTCTAGGACACCAGAGGAGCACGCGAAACACTTGCAGACAGTACTTGGTGCGCTAAGGGAGCACAAGCTATATGCCAAGCTGTCAATGTGCAAATTTTAGCTCGATGAGGTCACATTCCTTGGGCATGTGATCTCCCATGAGGGCATCAAGGTGGACCCTAGCAAAATATCAGCGATAACAGAGTGGAAGACTCTGAGGAATGCGCGAGAGGTGAGGAGCTTCCTCTCCTTAGCTGGTTATTACCAGCGCTTTGTGGAGGGCTTCTCATCCATAGCATCGCTGTTAAATAAGTTAGTAAAGAAGGAGATGAAATTCGCATGGACAGACGCATGTCAACAAAGTTTTGAGAAACTCAAGAAGTGTCTGACCGAGGCACCGGTGCTGGTGCAGCCAGTGCCTGGCAAGGACTATACAGCTTTTAGTGATGCATCGCACAGTGGACTTGGTGGTGTGCTAATGGAGGAGGGTAAGGTAGTGGCCTTCGCCTCCCGGCAGTTGAAGCCTCACGAGGGTAACTACCCTACGCATGATTTGGAGTTAGCAGTGGTGGTTTTTGCATTGAAGATTTGGCGGCACAACTTATTTTGTGAGACTACCTACATCCACACAGATCACAAGAGCTTGATGTACATGCTAACCCAAAAAGAGTTGAATCTGACACAACGAAGGTGGTTGGAGTTGATCAAGGACTACGATGGCTATATCGACTATCATCCTGGTAAGGCCAATGTCGTGGCTGATGCCTTGAATCGGAAGACTATGGCTGGACTACGAATCTAGTTGACGCTGGAAAATGAGATTCCCACGGCTTAGATTACGGATGACTTTTGTGTGAAGACTCGTGAGCTTGTCTCTAAGGGGGAGAGACAAGACTTCACTATCGATGGCAGTGAAGTGTTGCGCTATAGGGATCGCTTGGTGGTACCGAACAGTGAAGTGAGAGAACGGCTGCTACAGGAAGCTCATGAAACCATGTACACCATGCACCCTGGCAGCAACAAGATGTAGCAAGATCTCAAGAGAGCTTACTAGTGGCCGACGATGAAACGAGAAATTTTAGAGTTTACTGCTAAGTGCCTGACGTGTCAGCAGGTCAAGGCAGAGCATCAGGTGCCGAGTGGGCTGTTACACCCACCAGTTATCCCCGAGTGGAAGTGGGAGAGGATCACGATGGACTTCGTGATAGGCTTACCGCTGTCGAACAAAAAGAACGATGCAGTATGGGTTATAGTGGACCGATTGACTAAGTCAGCTCACTTCCTTCCTTTTCAACGAGACTTTTCCTTGCAGAGGTTAGCTGAGCTGTATATTCGAGAAGTTGTGAGACTACATGGAGTGCCTGTGTTTATCATCTCAGATTGCGACCCACGATTCACATCATAGTTCTGGAAGAGTCTTCAGAAGGCTCTTGGCACTAAGCTCAATTTCAGTACACCATTCCACCCTTAGACGGATGGCCAATCTGAGAGAACGATTCAGATTTTGGAAGACAGGATGAGAGCTTGTGTCATCGATTTCGATGATGGTTGGGAACGTTATGTACCGTTGATGGAGTTCGCCTACAACAATAGCTACCAGGCTAGTATACGGATGGCACCGTACGAGGTGCTGTATGGCCAACGTTGCAGAACTCTGGTTTGTTGCACCAAGTTGAGTGAACCTAAGCTGGAAAGACCTGACCTTGTTCGTGATGCAGAACAGAAGGTTCGCATAATACGACACAGATTACGAATTGCTTCGGATCGTCAGAAGTCCTATGCTGATCTCAAGCGTAGAGAAATTGACTATGATGTGGATGACTGGGTGTTTCTCAAGGTTTTGCCGTGAAAGAAGGTATTGAGCTTTGGCAAGAAGGGAAAGCTAAGTCCTTTGTTTATTGGACCATACCGGGTCCTTAAACGAATAGGACCAGTGGCTTATCAATTAGAGTTACCTCCAGAATTACAAAAGATTCACGATGTGTTCCATGTGTCTATGCTACGAAGATATCGATCATATCCATCACATGTCCTACCTGAGGGAGAAGTCACCCTCGACGAGAGTCTTACCTATGAGGAAGAACCCATACAGATCTTGGCACGTGAAGTAAAGGAACTGAGGAACAAGACAATTCCCTTGGTCAAGGTGCTTTGGCGAAACCATGCAGTGGAAGAAGCAACATGGGAGACCGAGGAGTCCATGAGAGCTCAGTATCCTCAACTCTTCAGTGACCGATGACTCAGGTAAATTTCAAGGACGAAATTCTTTTAAGGGGGGAGAAATGTAACGCCCCGAAACCTGGCCTATCAGAATTAATTAATTAGAAATAATTAATTAATTATTGATACGGACTCGGTGAAAATTATAAATACTCTTCGTTTGACATTAAAGATTATACTATTGTGTAGGGTTCGACGGATCGAATCTAACGGTGAAATCGGATTTGGATTTGGAGTCAGTGGGCCCGGAAAGTGCGTTTGGGTCAGCTACGTTCAGTTAATACAGAGCCCAAAACCCCAAAAGTATAAATATACTCCCTACACATCCCAAACCCTTACACCACCATTATATTCACGTAACTTACCTCTCCCTATTCTCTCGTCTCTCTCGATCGAAGCAGCAGCGGCACACAGCAATAAGAAGAAAAAGAAAAAGAAGAAGAAGAGAAGAAGAAGAAGGAAGAGGAAAAGTACGACGCCGTCGTTCAATGGTATTATGTTGTAGCTTCTAATCGTCGAATTCGAGGTGATTACGTGGTCATCTAACGTATGGTTATATTCGTAGGTTTGAATCTTACGTTCGTAGAATTGTTACGGTTGATCTATTTGGACTATACGTGAATTATGCTTTGATTATGTCGTTTATGATTTGAAAAAAACATGATTTGGGTTAGAACGATTGAGGGTTGGTTAGATAATGTCGGGTTAATGATTTATGAACGGTTTATGCTTGTTTTCATTGGAATTGATAATGTCTCATGGACGAAAGCGGAGTTGGTGTAAGTCTGGTGTTCGCCGCGACAGACGGTAGGGGGGTACCGCTGGCACGTTACCTGGCTACCTCCAGCCTCCCTGTTTTCATCTCTCTCTCTGCCAATACCTGTCACCCGACGGCAGCCAGGTGCCGAATGGGCGCTAGGCCCTACCGTCTGGTCGGTAGCGGCTACCGTGACAGCCTACCAGAGGAGACTCCAGCTGACACGGTAGGTACCCCCGTACTGTTGGGATGGTACCTTGGTACCATGGGGCCAGTAGCCCCTAACGCCAAGGGTACCGTGAGGTACCTGAACCAGCCTGTATTTGTCGTTTGCATCAAGGATCGATTCCGAGACTTTGTGTGTTGCATGACGGTAAACATGGGTGTCAACACCCAGGGTTAGGCCGCTATTTGAGTATGTCGGATGTGATGATTTATGTCGTATGATGCATGAACTTGTATGTTGTGAAATATTAACAAATAAAGAATGAAATACCTAGAACGAACTCTAGGAGCTGACCTGAATGGAATTAATGGCAAGTTATATCATAAGTTAGTAAGTTAGAGTCATGTGGTACCTGCTGGGTCCAATGGTTGTCCGAGTAAAAACGTGTACACGTTTGTTCCGAAGGGGACAGGGATCTCACCCACCACACGAGGAACTCCCGAGTTGGTTTGAGCATGACCTTCGTTCCGAAGGGGAAGGTCATGACTCCCATAGGCAAGTCGTATACAATTAAGCTTTAACCTATCATAGGTTAAGAGCCGAGTACAGAAAGAAAGTAAAGTAAACAAAGAGGAAAGAGTTTGTTATTAAATCCTGTAAATTGTACCTCTTGAATGATGATGTTACTGTTTACGTATCCTGTATGATGTATGATTATGTTTAGCATGTTGTGTGCATGATATCGTATGAGGATATGGGCTAGTGGGATCATCTTTGGGTATAGCTGTATGTTAGATATTTCTAACTTAGCTTCAATGCTGAGCGTGTAGCCCTTTTTCCTATTTGCTACACGTAGGTAATCCAGGAAATGATGAGCTTAGAGCAAATCCCGGAGGGCGATGAGGAGGTTGAGATGTGCGTGGTGGTGTTCGACGATTTCAGGCATGATTCCCAAGTTGTGTTTTGAATTACTACCTCCGTCCGAGAGTATTTGTCCACTTTCATTTTTACACACCATCCAATGCACTTCTTTAATCCATTTTATCTTGTAATTTGTATATTAAAAAGTTATAGAAATTATATATTAATAATCTATATGTTAAGACAAATCAAACAAGATCACACATGACTATATTTAGGCTTACACATTGAGAGAATTTGATGAGTCAAAGTACTTATATGAACAGTTCCAAAAGTCAAAACTGGACGAGTACTCCGGGACGGAGGAAGTATGAATTAAGCTTTCGCAACTGTTTTGATTTACTCCGATGGATATTTGAATGTTGTCGACTTGAATGTTTAAACTATTTTTGAAAATTAAATGGTGTTTGGATACCAAATTAGTAGCAACCGGGTTCACTGATCCGACAAATCGGGTTATGCGGGTTGGGGTTTTACACTATAGCACTCCCACTGACCTTCTTGTATACACAAGATTCATCCAAATTTCTTTCAAAACCAGAGCCGATGACGGTTTCGTGAAAGCGGATGTTCCAACTCCGTGAGGCTTGCTTCAATCCGTAGATTGATCGCTACAACTTGCATACCTTGGTAGATTCTTCAGGAGCGCAAAACCCTTCAGGTTGTGTCATAAGGACATCCTCAAGGAGGTTTCCATTAAGGAAAGCCGTTTTGACGTCCATCTACCAGATTTCGTAATCGTGGTATGCTACGATAGGATGTAAGATCCGAATGGATTTAATCATGACAACTGGAGAAAAAGTTTCGTCATAGTCGATACCATGTATTTGATTATATCCTTTTGCTACAAATCGTTCCGTGAAGGTTTGTACCTTACCATCCATGTCAGTCTTCTTTTTGAAGACCCATTTGCATCCAATGGCTTTGATCCCTTTGGGTGCATCAACCAAAGTCCATACTTGGTTGGTGTACATGGAATCCATTTCGGATTGCATGGTTTGACGCCATTCCTCAGCCTCGGGACAATTGATTTCCTCGAGGTAGGTCTCCGACTCATCCTGGTCGATAAGCATTACGTCACCCTCAAAGGTTAGGATAAATCCATACCTTTCAGGTTGTGTGCGTAACCGGTTAGACCTACGCGATTCTTATGTATCTTGAGCATTTTGAGGTGCAATAGTTTGTTCCTCTAGCTCATGTTCCTAAACCGGCGCGGTAGTTTCTTCATCGTCTCGAATTTCTTCGAGCTCTATCTTTCTCCCACTAGTTGAGTTGGAGAGAAATTCCTTCTCGAGGAGGACACCATTGCGAGCAACGAATACCTTCATATCGATAGGGTGATAGAATGAATACCCTCAAGTTCCCTTGGGATATCCCACGAAGAAACACTTATCAGACTTGGCGTCAAGCTTGCCATTTTTCATAAGACGTTTGACATAAGCCTCACAGCCCCAAATCTTTAAGTGTGATTGAACCGGGCATTTGCCCGTCCTTAGCTGGTATGGTGTTCCTTCAACCGCCTTGGTTGGAACGCGGTTAAGAGTATATATTGCAGTGCTCAGCGCATGCCCCCAGAATGATTCTGGTAGAGTTGAATGACCCATCATAGAACGAACCATGTCAAGTCGGGTACGATTCCTCCTTTCAGAGACACTGTTCCATTGTGGAGTCCAAGGAGGTGTGAGTTGGGATAAAATCCCATGCTCTCTAAGATAGTCATCAAACCCACTACTTAAGTATTCTCCACCTCGATCGGATCGTAGTGTTTTAATAATTTTGCCAAGTTGTTTTTCAACTTCATTCCTGAATTCTTTGAACATTTCAAAGGATTCTGACTTGTGTTTCATGAGATACACATAGTCATTTCTACTGAGGTCATCAGTAAATGTGATGAAGTATTAATAACCACCTCATGCAGTTGTATTGAAAGGACCGCACAAATCACTGTGAATGGGTGCCAGAAGATCACCAGCTCTTTCACCATGTCCGGTGAAAGGAGACTTGGTCATCTTACCCAATAAACAAGATTCACATGTGTCATATGATTCAAGATCAAATGACTCCACCATTCCTGACCGATGTAGCTTGGATATGCATTTCTCGTTTATATGGCCTAACCTACAATGTCATAGGTATGTTTGGTTCAAACCGTTCGGTTTGCTCCTCTTAGATGATATTTTGTAGACAGGAATGTCCAAGTCAAGCACATATAACCCATTGGTCATGTTGGCATTAGCATAGAAAACATTCTTTCTGTTAACGGAAAGGGACTTGTCTTTAATAGAAATGATGAAACCACGTTTATCAAGACATGAAACAGAAATAATGTTTCTGCTAATCGCAGGAATGTACAAGAAATCGTTTAATTCCACATAAGACCACTAGGCAAGACTAAACTATAAGTTCCAATTGCCAAAGCTGCAACAGGGGCACCATTTCCGACTTGGAGTTCAATCTCACCTCGAGCTAACCGTTAACTCTGCTTCAGTCCCTGCATGGTAGTACAAGATATGAGACCCACATCCAGTATCTAGTACCCATGATGAAGAAATAGACATGTTAACTTCTATAACATACACCTTAGAAGAAATTGTCATACCTTCCTTCTTCTTAGTTGTGAGGTATGTCTTGCAGTTTCTCTTCCAGTTGCCTGTCTTACCACAGTTATGACATTTGCCCTTTGCAATTCCTCCTACGGGTTTCTGGGTTGCAGATGAAGTGGACTTCGATTTAGGCTTTCCGACTATCCTAGCCTTAATCTTGATCCCCTTCATCGGCTTCCCCTTTCCGCCTTGGACCATAAGGACGGAAGCACCCTTGCCCTTAGTAAGGTTCTCCTCTGCAGTCTAGAGCATCTTAAGAAGCTCCGGAAGGGGTTTGTCAAGATCGTGCATCATGTAGTTCATGACGAACCCCTTGTACAACTCAGTGAGCAACTGCAGAATCAGGTTCGTTGCTAGCTCCTTCTGCAAGGTGAACTCGAGTTTCTCTAGATTGGTTATGTAACCAATCATTTTGAGAACGTGCAGACCGACCGGGTTCCCTGGAGAGAGCTTGCAACTAAAGAGAGCCTTACTCACAAGAAAACGCCCATCCCTGGATTGCCCTTGGTATAGCTGCCGCAAGGCCACGATCATGTCGTGGGCCTTCATGTAGTGGTGATGTTTTTGCAGCTCGGTTGTCATGGTTGCCAGCATGACACAGCTAACCTGGTTGTCATCTTTAATGTGTTTCTCATAGGCATCTTTAACCGCTTTCAGGGCGTTAGCGGGAGGGGCAGGAGGAATGGGCTTTTCGAGCACATACTCTTTCTCATGCATGCGGAGAGTGTTAGACAAATGTGCAACTCTAGAGGGGGGGTGAATAGAGTTGTTTTCAAGAATGTGCGTTTATCACATGTGTGAAATAATAAAATCGCAGGAATAAATAAAAAGAGTAAGGGAAAGAAGAACACCGAGATTTATACTAGTTCACCACCTCGTGGCTAGTCCAGTCCTCCGAGAGACTCTCTCGAAAGTCCTACTAATCTTCAATCTTCAAAGGGTGCTTGAAAAACCGGTACAACTTGAGAACATGAATCACACAAGCCTCACTTTCTTACAACAACAAGACTTGAGTCACCTAAGTCTTAAGAACAACACTCAAATAAAATTGAGTTTACAACACAAGAATTAAAGCTCACACAATTGAGCAAAGATGTGTTGAAAGATTAAAGTTCTATGGATGACAACTTCTTTAGCACTCAAAGAAAATATTTCTAACTCTCAAAAATAATATTTGATGAGGAAGATGAAGCAAGGGATGAATATAGCTCAAAGGATATGTTGGAGTGCAAGAGTAGTGTCTTGAGAATGAAGGAGAATGGGGATTAAATAGGCTCTGAGAAATAAATCCGTTGGATCAGGCTGAGAATATGCACTAGATAAAATTAATCGATTAAAGTTAAAGGTTAAATCGATTACTGTACACACAGGCGCAAAACATGTAAAGAAGAGCAAAACATAATCGATTAAAAGAATCCCAAAAATCGATTAGTCGGCTCTGTCCAAACTAATCGATTAATCAAAGAGAAATAATCGATTATTGGTCAACCCAGAGGAATGCAACGAAAAGCCTATTAATCGATTAAATAAGAGAGAAAAATCGATTAACTCCAAGACCTGAGAAACGCGTTGTGAAAGCAAATGGATCTAATCGATTATTTAGATTTATTTAATCGATTAAAAATAAAATAATGCACAAACACAAAGGGCCCAAGCCAAGTGCGATTGGAAGACCTTTGGCTTCTAACTCGTTGTTTGGGACAACGGGAATATCAACGGACGCTCCTCAAAGATAATATCTCCTATTCAATGAAAAGAGTCCAAAAATTATTTTGTGTATCAAACGATATACACGAAAAATATTTAAAGTATATTTTTCTTACCACAAAAAAAATTTGTGTATCGAAAAGAAATGTTTTTTTAAAAGAAATTTTGACACACTATTTTGAAACTGACTCAGTAAAATATTTTTTAGACAGAGAAAATATAATTTTTCAACTGACTCAGAAAATAATATTTTTATCTAAAAAAAATTTGTTTATGCAGAAGTTATTGTCATCCTTACAAAAATTCCTAGACTCAATAAAAAATAAAGGGTCTTCAGAATCTTCACTTCACTTCAAAAACTGCGTAGGGGTGATCGTTTGATTTTATCACCGTAAATTTCTTGATACTCCTTTTTGCTTTTCTCGATACGAAAAATAAATATTTGATCAGCTTGAATTTAATCATCCTGTTTGTCATTTATCAAAACAAAAAATATTCCAATAATAATAAAAGGGTTTGAACTCATGTCCAACAATTTCTCCCTTTTTGATAATGACAAACATAGTTGAGAAAAAACAAAGCAAGAGTTCAAGAAATACTTCGCTTAATATAATTCCCCCTGCATGGTTAGAGAAGTGCAGAAAAAATTTCGGAGTAATAAGCGGAAAAACGTTTTTGAAAAACCAAGGTTTCTCACCTATCCTTCCTTTCCCCCTTTTGGCATTTTCAATCGATATCCTTCCCCCTTAATTAATGACGGGATATTGAAGGATAGAAAAAAGATTTTTCAAGAGTTTTCTAAAAAAAGAGAACTCCTAAAAAAAATGCCACAAAGGGACAATATGTTCTAAAAATGAACAATATTGCCAAATCAACATCAATACACAGTTAACATCATCAATTAACAACAGTAAATAGTCATTAGCCAAAGCATTATCATTATCCACCAAAAGAGTTAAAAGCAATAAGAATAGCATTTAGTAATGTATCAAAATAAGTCATAATAACGGACAACATAATCAAAGAGAGTTCGCTGGACGAGCTCCTCCGCTAAAGCTGTGACGCGGGTCAAGGTAGGAGCGGGATTGCTCAAAACGAGTCATCCTCTCGTTGAGCTGGCGAACGTCATCTCGGATGCACGTGAGAGTGTCAAAGATCCTCTTCACCCATGATGGTTCCGGTGCTTCTTCTCTCGGACGAGTCCTGCGTTGATGAGTGACGCGCTCCGTTGCTCGACTACCTTCGGCATGTGATGACTCGGCTTGAGTCTCGTTTTGGCTCTCTTCTTCGTCTGCGACTACCAGGTCCAGATTTGGTGCTGCATCGCGCTCCTCACGGTACACGATCCAGGAAAACCTGGTGTCCTTGATGTAGCAAGTCTTCTTGACCGGCACCTGAGTGTCCCGAGTAAGGTCTATTTTGCAATGAGCAAGGATATGCATGATGGGGATGGCAAAACATAGATGGGAAAAACGAGTTCCATCACTAAGTGCAACGATAAAGAAGTGAACCCAATCAAATTTGACATTGTTCAACAGGACGTGAAACAAACGAATATCGTCCTTGTTAACAACGCCATGGTTCGAATCATGGGGCAACAAAACATAGGAGAAGATGTATTGTTGGACGCGTTGAATCAAAGTGAGGTTAATGACACTCGGGTTGCTAGAATTTCTAAACTTGAGGTCACGATGATCTAACCCGAGTTGTCGCCAAATTGCCTCATCTTGGAATGTTTCATCAAAGTTTTCGGTAATTTCACCTCGACGAAGGCCAAACAGAGAAGTCAAACCGGCACCGTCAATGAAAATGGTTTTGCCGTCAACATAGGAAATGAGAGATGGCGAGTCTCCCTTAGTGGTACGAAGATTTGCATAAAATTTACGTATAAGATTTGGACAAAAGAATTCATACGTCAAATGGATGAAACGAAGCAAACCTTGCTCAGAGAAAAGAGACTTACTCGGGGCATAGGTTGCCGATTTGAAGAGGTCCTTGTGCACAATCTTCGTGAGACGATCTCCTTCGTGAGAAAGGTGTTGTGGAACCTTTCCGCTGATTCTCCCGTGTCGAATGCAAGTCCGGTTTGGATGTGGATGTACTTGCTCCCTTCACGACGCCATGGGCGCTCACCTTCTTCCGCCGCCGATTCTTGACGCGAGGTGGGGTTCTTGCACCTTGGCATCCTTCCACTTTGAAATTGATGATGTTTGGTGAAAATTAAAAAAAATTGAAGGAATTTGTGAAGAATTTGTTGAGGAAATCGAAGAGGGTTTCGCAGCAGAGACTAGGGTTTCGCAGCAGAGATGATTGGCGAAGAAGACAAAGATGCAGTCTCTGACTTTATTAAACCAAAACATGGATATTAATCGATTAATAAAGGTGCTTTAATCGATTAAGGAACACATCCGAGGCCAATCGATTATATTAAACTGATTAATCGATTAGAAGTGAAGCAGAACCAAAGACGTTTGCGCTGAAGGCTATTAATCGATTAAACAAAGACTATTTAATCGATTAAGATGCACAGACGCCTCTAATCGATTTCTCTTTGAGGAGTAATCGATTAAAAACTGTTTGACAGAAAAAAATCATCAAGTCCAATTTAGGTTTGATACCAAGGTTTTAGATACCTGAAAGGCCCTGCAAAAAAGAATTTATCGCGCCTCCGACGCTCAAATTAGTAAAGTAAAATAAACAAGAATAAATTAGTTCATAGAGATATCCAAAATGCCAAGTTCATTCCGAATGTGGAAGAAACTCTCCCTACAAAGGAAGGGGTTTCGTGAAAATGTCCGCTAATTGATGTTTCGTTTCAACAAACTCAATTGTGACATCTCCCTTTTGGACATGATCTCGTATGAAGTGATGCCTAATTTCTATGTGTTTAGTCCGCGAGTGAAAAACGGGGTTCTTCGTTAGACTAATAGCGCTCATATTGTCAAATCTAATTGGGATGTGATCAAGTATAAGGCCGAAATCCACTAGTTGCTGTTTTAGCCAAAGAATTTGGGCACAACAACTTCCCGCAGCGACATATTCCGCTTTGGTGGTGGAAAGTGCAACACTAACATGTTTCTTACTAAACCACGAGATTAACGAATGACCGAATAAGTGGCAAGTACCGCTGGTACTTTTCCTATCGAGTTTGCAACCTGCAAAATCCGAGTCGGAATAGCCAACAAGATGACATGTCGAACCTTTGGGATACCAAAGACCTACGTTCAACGTGCCCGCGAGATATCGCATTATCCTTTTGATCGCAACCAAGTGTTATTCTTTAGTACATGATTGATACCTAGCGCATATACAAACGGAGTACATGATATCCGGTCTACTCGCGGTAAGATAAAGTAAAGAGCCGATCATACCTCGGTATTGCTTGATATCTACCTCTTTACCTTTTTCATCCTTGTCGAGATAGCAAGAGGTGCTCATTGGTGTGTCAATGGATTTGGATTCGGTAACATCGAATCTATTAAGCAATTCCCTGCAATATTTTGTTTGACACACGAATGTCCCTTCTTTGCATTGTCTAATTTGCAGCCCAAGGAAGAACTTTAATTCTCCCATCATTGACATTTCAAATTCACTTTGCATCATATCGGAAAAATCCCTGCACAAAACCTCGTTAGTAGCACCGAATATGATATCATCTACGTAAACTTGAACCAAAAGGATGTCTTGGTTATCTTTCTTGATGACAAGAGTAGTGTCGACTTGACCCCGTTTGAACTCATGGTCCAAAAGAAATTTGCTTAACCGTTAATACCAAGCACGAGGTGCTTGCTTGAGACCGTAAAGCGTCTTTTTGAGTTTGAAGACATGTTCGGAAAATTAATAGTCTTCGAAACCCGGGGGTTGTTCGACATACACTTCCTCTTGAATGATGCCATTAAGGAAGGCACTTTTAACATCCATTTGATAAAGTTTAAAATCCATCATAGATGCAAAAGCAAGTAATAAACGAAAAGCTTCTAAACGTGCGACCGGTGCATGAGTTTCTTCATAATCAATGCCTTCTTCTTGATTGTAGCCTTTAGCTACAAGCCTAGCTTTGTTTCTAGTGATTACACCATTTTCATCAAGTTTGTTACGAAACACCCATTTTGTGTCATAACGGAATGATCATTAGGTCTAGGCACCAATTCCCAAACATCATTGTGTTTGAATTGGTTAAGCTCCTCTTGCATTGCCATAGACCAATGTTCATCATTAATAGCATCCAAAACGGTTGTTGGTTCAATTTGTGAAACAAAAGCCATGTGATTAATTGTGTTCCTAAGAGAATTACGAGTAGAAACTCCCTGCGTTATGTCACCAATGACATTGTCAACTGGGTGATTCTTCAACGTTCTCCACTCATTAGGAAGCTCCGTTTGCTCCTGCGTTTTCTCTTCTTCCGGTTCCTTTTCCTTAACGATTTCTTCTTCATCGTCATAACACTACGAAAAAGAAGGCAATACCGACAGGGGTCAATATGTCGCTAATGGTTAAATATCTGTCGCTATTCGCTTTTACCGACAGATAATTGTCTATCGCTAAGCTGTCGCTAAAAACTCCGTCAGTAAAAGTATTACCGACAGATAAAATATACTGTCGCTAAAATAGTGTAATAGCGATAGACCATAGATGTCGCTAAAAAAGAGAGAAGTCGCTAAAAAAATGAATTAGCGACAAAACAAAGTGTGGGTATATCCTTCTTTTCTGTCGCTAATACCTTGTTTTTACCAACATTAACATTTAATATAACTGTCGCTAAAAATTAGATTACTCACAAAAAAAATGTGTGAGCCAAACATTTTTTTCTATCGGTAATAGCTTATTTTGACCAACATTTACATTTATTATAACTATTACTAATACCAACTATTTAAGTGATATTAAATAATTTCATTGACAGATAAAAAATAATATTCACACTTGTATTAACAACAATACATAATACGATAACATTTCAAAGGGTTACAACTAACCCATTTACTAGAATGTAAACCAACATCTCAAAAGTAGTTCATCATTTAAGCTAAAGTATAAACAGTCAAAGTGAACTAAAATAAAATACGCATCGATATGAAAGATATAGTCCAAACACGTAGATGAACAGTGAAAGTAGCGACGTTGACCTCCAATTCGTCGGATTCCATCTTCAAAAATCAGCGATTAGACTCTCATATAGATTCACTTGCTGAAGGCGAATTGAGAGCTCCAGAAATCACAAGAATCGAGCCAAAATCAAGGTGGAGATCAGAAGTCAACTTCGCCAAATCTGGTTTGCTTGCTGACCGATTCTCGTGGAACCGTGAGCCAAATCCTGTTCGTCTATTGCATTAAATCCGAAAGGAAGGAAGAACAAAAAAGAAATTGTGGGTTTTCCTCTCATTTTCTAGCATTTCTGATTTATCTTATCTCATTTGAGCTGATTTAGGATTTTCGTGATTCTTTATTTGATAGATCCGATCTTTATGGCGATGAAGAAGAAGAACCCAATTATAATTTTCAAAGAAGTGAAAAGAGAAATTAGGAAGAGGGAGAATGAAATTTAGAGGAGGGAAAATGAATTTGGAAAGAGTGAAATTAAAATTGTATAGATTTGGAGGTAAACTTTAAAATATTAACTAAATTTTGATCTCATGCATTTAAAGATTATATTTGGCAAATAAGACACAACCTTGACAAGTAAATTGATTTTTTTGAAGACTAGATCTGATATTATTGGATTTGAATTTGATTTGATCCGATTAGATTTATTTTGGTCTGATTTGATCTAATTAGATCCGGATGCATTTAAAGTTTATATCACAAAAATAAGACACAACCAACACAAGTAAAATGTTTTTTTAAAGATTAGATCTGATCTTATTGGATTTAAATTTGATTTGATTTGATCTGTTTTGGTCTAGTTCGATCTAATTTGATCTGATATGATGCATTTATAGATTAGATCAGGCAAACAAGACACGACCTATATAATTAAATTGTTTTTTTGAAGATTTGATCTGATCTTAATAGATTTGAATTTGATTTGATTTGATCTATTTTGGTCTGATTCAATCTAATTAGATCTGATATGATGCATTTAAGGATTAGATCACGCAAATATGACACGACCTATACAATTAAAGTTGATTTTTTTAATATTTGATCTGATCTTACTAGATTTGAATTTGATTTGAATTCGATATGTTTGAAGATTATATCTGATCTTATTGGATTTGAATTTGATTTGATTTGATTTGTTTTGTTCTAATTCGATCTAATTTGATATGATCTTATGCATTTATAGTTTAGATCAGACAAACAAGACATGACCTATATAAATAATTTGTTTTTTTTAAGATTTGATCTGATCTTAATAGATTTGAATTTGATTTGATCTGATCAGATCTATTTTGTTCTGTTTCAATTTAATTAGATCTGATATGATGTATTTAAAGATTAGATCATGCAAATATGACACGACCTATACAATTAAATTGATCTTACTAGATTTGAATTTGATTTGATTCAATATTTTTGAAGATTAGATCTGATCTTATTGGATTTGACTTTGATTTATTCCGATTAGATCGATTTTTGTTTGATTTGATCTAATTAGTCCGATTAGTTATATTTAAAACGCTTTTAATTTGATTTAGTCTAATCTTATATGATGAGATCTGATTTCATTAGATATCATCTAAACAACATATACACATGTTAAATTGAGATGGAGTGGCTCACATGAAATATGCAAGCAATAAGATCTTATTGAATTTGATTTGATCTTATCTCATCTTATCTGATTAGATCTAATATGCTAGATCTGATTCTAGTTATATTTAAAAACTCTTTCTAATTTGATCTGGTTTAATCTGATTTGATTAGATATCATCTAAACAACATATAAACATGTTAAACCGAGATGCACTGGTCGCATGAAATATACAAGCAATCAGACCTGATTGGATTTGATTTGATTTTATCTTATCTTATCTAATTAGATCTAATCTTGACTGGTCTAATTAAAACGTATATTTTTTTAAAAATTAATTAATGTTAAATCGTTTGAGTAATTTGTTTGAAATGAAATCTAATAATTTCAACTAAAATTGAGGGAATACATAATTTTTTATTCAAATGAATTGAAATGTTAATATGTCTTGAATCTGTATTGTGTTACCGCTACGCAGATTAGTAAATTGAGGAACCTAGTTTTTTTTTGAAAACTTGGCCAAAAGATATGTATCCCTCCTTCTCCCGCCTCTAATTTCACTTTGGTTAAAAACTATTATCAGATACTAGTCAAAATCGGAGTTACATATTTTTATTTACACAATCGGAGTTACAATGCCAATAATCTCAACACATAATACCAAAAAATACTCTATAATGTCAATATAAAATGTCACAATAAAAACCTTTATTTTGAGATTAAAAACATTAATATTCTATTTTAGTACATTCTCTCTTTTTTACTTCTATTTTGAGTGAAATATCGTTTTAAAAAGTTACTAATTTTTTTGAAATAAAAATATAGAGTAAAAAGTTAAACTAATTAAAGATAAAATCTAAATAAGTGAAACTTAGCAGGGTAGAGGGGACAAAGAAAAAAGAGGGAAGATAAAAGTTTTGACAAAAGAAGGAAAGGGAAAAATTTGGCAAAGGAGGGAAAAAAATTTGGAGCGAAAATATTAGATTAAAAATTGGATTATGCTATGTGTACCCCAAAGTTTGTACCCCCATTTGTACCCCGCAGTTTTGCACCAACACTTTGTGTTGGTGTAAAACTAATTTTTGTTAAACGCACCAACATTTGTGTCCGTGTGAATTTTTATTAACGCACCAACACTTGTGTCGGTGTAAACCATCGAAATGTTTGTGCAAACCTGCGGTGTACAAATAGGGTATATTTTTTGGTGTAAGTGTAGCATGGTCCTTTAAAATTTTAAGTCCACACAATTTGGTAAAGGAGAAGGTAACCAGCCCCGCTTTATGGAGTCCAACGTTTTTCTCGCTCTTGACCGCGACATGAACAGTGCCAGAAGTAGAGAATCGCCGGTTACTCCATCAATTTGAGCTTGTTTTGCTACAAATATTTGGAAATCAGGGTCGCCTACAGCGGGGGATTCCATATATGAGCTTTGTACGCTGTTTTTGGAGATGGTTTTTGAAGAATCGAAAGGTCAACGCGATGGCGTCACTTTTCATCTGCGAACTCAATCGTAGATTTATGGTGTCTCGGGAAAATTTGAAGGTCTTCCTTCTTGGATTCTCAGCGAAATGGTTAATTTTTCCAAGGTATGAGCATGGGTTACAATTCCATTCCAATAATCATCTGAGCATACTGAAATTAAGGAAATTGATACTGGAATTACACATTGCTCTTTTCTGCTTTTGAAATGGCATATCCTGAGATGGGAGGAACACCTCAAGTGACAATTATGAAGATTCAAAGAAACTAAATTGGGGCAGTGGCTGATTCATTGGCCTGAAGCTATTATGAAATTGGGGCAGTGCCAAAATTGTGGCAGTGGCAATATGAGTTGATTTGTTAGTACAGTTTAGAAATACTGCTTGGTTAAATCATCACAGCCTCATAATTTTTCAAAGTATTTTTCCCTGGGTTGTCTGTGATGCTGGATTTAGTTGTAGACTTTTGAGGCTATGATGATAGACTTTACATGTTTTCTCTTAATGAGCATACTGAAATTGAGGAAATTGATACTTATCTTGGCGTGGCTCCATGGATGGAAGGAGTAGCCATGGCGTTATCATTACCCTTTTCTTAAAATGATTATCTAAATAGTGAATATCTGAGCCTCTTTATATTAGCTTCAAATGGTAATCTTCCTGGCAATATAGTATCCTCTAATTCTGCCCTTATAAAGACAGTTATAGTTGGTCCACTTAATTGATTTCATCCTCTTTATAAGGCAATGGCATACTTTGTAAAATTCTGCCCTTAAAATGGTATACTTTGAAAAATTATGAGGCTGTGATGATTTATTTTATATGTTTTACCATTTTTGGTTTTCTAAAATTAAGCAGCCATGGCGTAATTATTCAATTTCCCATGTAATGAATATATATATATTCTCTATAGTTAACTATGTAGCTAGCTAGCCATGGCGTAATTGATTCCTATGTAGCTAGTTCATGAGGAAGACACTATGAAATGAATTCTCTATAGTTTACTGAGTTGTATGGCTTAAGCTTTTAGAATTGTAATGCTCAAACATTATTTCCAGTGTGATATTTATTTTGATCTCCCCACATCATTTTATCATTTCACCTTCATGCACTTTATTACTTGTGATTTAGTTTGCAATCTTAGCATGTTATGAGAAAAACATGATTTTGCACATACTTGGATCTTGCTATATTTAAACTTCAAAGCTGTTACAGATAGTGATCTGTGTGCTTAAAGTCACGTTGCTTTCATCTCTTGAAGTCTACGATTCATCCTCCTTTTGGATTCAGTTTATTTTTCCAATTGACATTAATTCCCTACTATTCTTTTATCTAGGGTGAATACGTTCCGGATCCGTTCATCACATTTGAGGCTACTGGTTTTCCTCCAAAAATACTCAGAGATGTAAGTGTACTATCCTTGACATTGGACCTACAGACGAGACCTACTGTGCTAGAGTGACTCTTCAACTCTTTCTGGATCTGTGTAATATTTATATTTTATAGATGCATTGAGCTTAACAGTTGTCACTTGTCGCAGGTGCGATATCTGCTCCGGAGGAGGAGCACATGTCGTACGTTGTATTGCTATGAAATGCTCATACACTTCCACAACCAGCATATTGAGTTTTTTGAGGCTGCAAAGTGGATAGTTGAAGCCTCATGCATAGCTTCTTGAAGGTTAGTTGGCCCTTCATCCAAATAACAATATATGTGACTGGAATTTCTAGCTTATTGGCTCTGCATCCTCTGTTTTAATTGCTCTATTTTGTTGCCTTGAGTTGCTTCTGTAAGCAGTTGCATTACTTCAAACCTTATTTTGGATCCTTGTTCATTTTTCAATTTGGTTTATTATAATTATTTCATCGTTCTCAATGTTTGGATCCATTTTTGAAATCTCAGGCTTGTATTTCTAATATTATCCATGCACGTCCAAGAGTGTTCCCCACATTATGTTTTGTTGGTATGGATTATGTTTATAATTTTCCTGCAGCTTTGTTTTGCTGGATTCACTTCTCCCACACCAATCCAAGCACTAGTGTTGATTTTGACTATCATTGATACATCCTGCTTATAGACCATAGGTAGAAGCATGACATTGCGTTTATATATTGATTTTTGAATTTTAAGTGTTGATTTTGACTAAAATCTAAACTGAATTATTTTTTATTTAGAAAAAATCTGCAGCTTTGCTTGATTCCTAAGCTGAATTATGAACTTCAATTGTTAAATAGATGCATATGAACTACTTTGGAGGTATTAGGTAGCAAATAACTCCAAAAAGTTTCAAGTATTTTTGTTATGAACTCTTTCTTCTTATCAACAAATATTAATTATTTAATGGTATGCAGATTGAGGACTAAAGTGGAGGCTTTACAAGGAAATGTTGCTAGAGCAAGAGATGTATTCAAAAATGTTATTGAGGGGACAAATAACTAAATTAGGCATGCTGAATGGATAATTAGAGTGTGATTTTAATTATGTAAATATTAAATTATTGGATGCTATTTAGACTTAGATTGTATGTATTTAGATATTATTCAATATATTCTACATTTTAGAATTTATTTTTGGAATTGAAATAAATTTTATTTATTAAATATAAATGTAAATTGAAATATCGTAGTCTTTCAAACAGCTTTACAATGTATTAAAACAGTTTTCTATATCTTTAAAGGACAACTACACAAACCTGTACTGTTAATAAACGTTAGACAATAGAAATAAACAGTTGTGTGAAATACAACAAAGATAGTTGTTTACATTTTACAAATACAACACAGAATAGCAGTTGTCTTATGCAAACATACTTAGTTGTCTTCGGAGCAGTAGTCTGATTTACAATCTGACTACTGTGTAAAAAGATAGTTTTAATATTTCAAGGACAACTACAAAAAAGCGTAGTGTTATTGAGCACTATATAAGTGAAAGAAACGGTTGTTTAAAATACAACAAAATTAGTAGTCTACATTTTAGAAATATAACACAAGATAATAGTTGTCTAATGCTATTTTTGTTTAGTAGTCTTCCAAGCAGCAGTCTGATATATCTTTCAACTACTTTTGAAATAAGATGTCTATAGTGTTGAACGACAACACCACGCAATAAGAGTCTAAAGTCGAAAACAACAGTAATATTCATTATAGATAGACAACAAAACATCACAGTTGTCTTTAACTCCAGAAAACAGATGTCTTACTCATACGAGGACAACTTCAAGAACATGTACTCTGAAACATCACAGAATAGGTGTCGCCAACCGTATTACACAATTGTTTTTAAACAGTAGTCTGTAAATATATCAGACAGCTGCTCGGAAGACTACTGAAACTAGCACAGTTAGACTACTAAAAAGAACAGTTGTCAGCATCTGTTTTTGACGTAGTGTTTACCAATCACATTGTCTAAAGGATGATATCTTGAAGTTCTCCATTCGGGTGGTAACTCATTTGCAATATGCTCTTCCTTTTTGTCCTCAACTTTTTCTTCAACAACTTCTTGTTTTTCAGATTTTGCCTTACTTGATTCACCTTCTTTAAGATTCATTTGCTCAAGTGAACCTGCAAGGTCATCACAAGATACCCTTCTCGACAAGCGAGCATTATTTTCATCAAACACAACATGTACAGATTCTTCAACAACTAAGGTACGTTTGTTGAACACTCTGTAGGCCTTACTTGTCAAAGAATAACCTATAAAAATTGCTTCATCTGACTTGGCATCAAAAGGTCCTAAATTATCTTTTCCATTATTCAAAACATAACATTTGCAACCAAAGATGTGAAGATGTGAGAGATTAGGCTTTCTACCCTTATACAATTCGTACGGAGTAGCATTGAGTATAGGTCTTATAATCGCACGATTGAGAATATAAGCACTAGTACTCACTGCATCCGCCCAAAAGTACTTAGGTATGTTAGCCTCACTAAGCATAGTTCTCGCCATCTCTTTGAGAGATCGGTTTTTCCGCTCAACAAC